CCCATTCATACAACAAAGAGGTCTGTTCCACTATGTTCATCGCAGCTTTATTTGTAACTGCCAGAACGTGGAAGCAACCTAGATGTCCCTCACCTGAAGAGTGGATAGAGAAAATGTGGTACATCTACACAATGGAGTACTATTCAGCAGAAAAAATAATGGAATCATGAGATTCGCAGGCAAATGGATGACACTGGAAGAAACCATCCTGAGTGAGGTAACCCAGTCACAAAAAGAGAAACATGGCATGTACTCTCTCATATATGGATTTTAGACATGGATCTGGGGAGTGCCAGCCTACAATCCTATGGCCAGAGAGTCTGGGAAACAGAAACTTTATTTAGTGGCGGATCGAAGAAGAGGCAGACTCCCTTGGTTAAGTACTGAGCTGAACTCAAGAAAGCCAGTAACAGAGAGGGAGGACTGATGATCAAAGGGATTAAGACTGGGCTGGTTTAACCCCCAGAAACAGCTGACCAGACAAAGGTTAACTCTTGAATCCCAGGCATTATCCTGGGAAGCCAGCATGGGACTGATCAAGACCCCCTGAATCTGGGTGTCAGTGAAGAGGCCTAGGGAATCTATTGAGCCTTGGGCAGCAGATCAGTACCCATCCCAAGTATACACACGGACTTTGGACTCCAATAGAACAATGTGAGGTGCACTCTCACCCAGAACTCTTGGGAAAGGGTCTAGGCCCTGCCCTATATGAAATGACACACTATGGACACCCCCATGGAGGGCCTCACCCTCCCTGGAGAAATGAGAGGATAACGGCGGGGGGAGGGGAGGGCACGGGAGGAAGGGAGGGAATGGGAGAGGGACCTGGAACTGACTTGTGAAGCAACCTTGATTCTTATCTAAATTTAAACTGGAAAATAAAATTAAAAAAATTAAATTAAATTAAAATAAAAAAATATATACCCATTGCTCCCCAAGTTTCTGTGGTCACTGTGTCTCATCATAGCAATAGTAACACAAGTTAAGACACTTCGTTCTCCTTAAGACATTGCATGTAGGTCTTTTAGTGAAATCCCAGACATAGGGCCTTGGGAGGATTTTTCTCCTGGTTGTTTGATGTCAGCAAATAGAATGTGGTTCTTTTTCTGTATCCTTACTGAGTTACTTGTTGGTTGGATTTTTGGAAAGACAAAATAAAAAAACTGTATTAATATGTGTATTCTGTAAGAAAAGTTCACATCCTTGGAAGGAAATGAAAGAGAACAGGATATTGGGTAAGGTAACACTGGCTGGTGCAGGGGATATCAGGGAGAATTGTTTGATTCTATGCTTCTGAAGTTATTTAAAAGAAGTTCAGCAAGGTGAGGAAGGAGTCCTTGGGGGCACAGGTGTCCTAATGTACCACAGTCTCCCTGTCCTGTCTTTTCTCCAATGCTGCTGCAGAGCTTATCACACAAAAAGATAGTTGCACCATGTTTATTTGGCACACAGTTTTCACAGAATCCACAGAGAGCAATTTGACTCCAGTTTGAAGTGATGATAGGCCGTACATCCATGGTTATAATTCCATCCCTGATTCCAGTGTTAAGTGAAGACAGGGATGCTTCAGTGGATCTTATCCCATCACTGACACATTTGTGTAGTGAAGACAGGCCCTACTTCAGTTGATCTCATTCCATCAGTGACTCCAGTGTGCAGAGAAGACAGTACCTGCTTCAGGGGATCTCAGACAATCAGAGGAAATAAGCCAGTTTTGTGGTGAATACCAGTACTCATCTGATGACTGTAGTAGGAAGTGGTCTCAATGGTGGGATGAGGTCTCTGGCAAGATGACCAGAGATGTTCACCACTTGAGATTTCTACTTCAAGTTTATCTCACTGATAAACATGATTGAATATGATTGTTCACTCATTTTGTCACTGAAATATCTCATGACTGGTAGGATTATTTTAATCCCAAATCCATAGCTCTGAAATTCTTGCAGATTAACTTTGACAGTCGCAACCTAAAAATCTGTCTCACAGCTGAGATCAGCACAGTTATTTCATGGGACCTTGTGTGGACACTCAACATATATGTGCATTGGGTGTTTCTCATGTGTTCTATTATTACTGGGATATCACTTTGATTTTCCCAGAGTTTCCAACTGTAGGAAGATAGTTCTTGCTGTGTGTCTTACACATAAACCTGTAGTCTGCAGAACTGCCCAGCAGTGAAAACTGACTAGGAGGTTAGTTGTGGGGTCAGAGTTAACAAATCACCAAAACTAAACATGTCGAGAGAATTCTGATCTTTCTATGTGGTCCCTCTAGGGATTGATGACTAACATACAGCCTGTGAGATGAGGCTGTGGACAAGGTTATTCTCTAAAAATTTCACATTATAAAACCAAGACCCACAAATGTGGGACAAAGGCATGCCAAGGGTAAAGCTGCAATTCAATTTCCTTGGATCTCCACTCATACAAATATTAAAAATCAAGAGTACTAAATGTTTGTAGGTTGCTGTCTCATAAGCTGAACTTTCTATATGATTGTTAAGAATGATATGACCTCAACTGACACTAGGAAGAAAGATTTATACCAGGTCATTAATTCTGGTTTCCCACCACTAAGAGCTAAGATATATCATGTGAGTAAATCAACTTGAATTTACAAGGATATGCCCTGTGGGTATTACACTATCTTCTGCCCTCACTACACGACTGTGGACTTACTGTTTTGCATCCAAAGCCTGCACAGTGTGGATCACATAATTTTCTGTTCACATGGAAATGGATATCCAGACAAAAGTAGAAATGTTCCATTTTTTTCAGCTGTTCTTCTGAGAAGATTAAAACAAATCTCAGACACTTTTAAGTGAAACGGGGTTCCTTTCTCTATGCATCCTTTTACCCTTTCAGGATCTTCCCCCAGTGCAAAGCAGCCTCAAGTTCAGACTAAAAGCCCAGGCCTAGGTAGGCAGCCCCATCTCCTTCTCACTGGAGCCTCCGGCAGAGCATGTCTGTCCTGGTGTTGCTCCTCTGACTGGTGACCTTTCCAAGCTGTAAGTGTCCATGTTGTCAAGAGAGGGACACATGCATGTCATTCTGGGATGTATGGCATCTGGTGATGTTGTTTGTCTCCAGGTGTCCCTTCCCACATACAGCTGAAGGAGTCAGGACATGGCCTGGTACAGCCATCAAAGACCCTGTCTCTCACCTGCACTATCTCTGGGTTCTCATTAACTGGCTGTGGTGTACACTGGGTCTGCCACCCTCCAGGAAAGGGTCTGGAATTAATTGGAAGGATACAGAGTGATGGAAGAACTGATTATAATTCAGCTCTCAAATCCTGAGACATCATCACCCAGGACACCTCCAAGATCCAAGTTTTCTTAAAACTGAACAATCTGCAAACTGAGCACACAGCCATGTATTTCTGTGTCAAATACAAAGTGAGGGAACTCCAATGTGAGCATGAAGAGAAACCTCCCTGCAGGGACACTCTGGACCAGCAGTGGTCGCTGAGGTCCTATGGAGACTCCCATGAACATTATGGTGTTGCTTCAGAACTTGGAAATTCTGGGACATATATCATGAGCATTTGTTTTTATGTCAGCACCTATGATTTCCTCTTCCATCCAAGGAAACCCTCTAAAGACCCCTTAAATGTCAAAATCTACTCAACTTTTGTGTTGTCATACCAGAATAAATGGTTTACCCAAAGCCCTCTAAGATATCCAGTTCCTGGTGATATTCCATAAAATGGCACTTGTTTTTATAAATTCCATACATGTACACATATATGTATAAATTTCCTGATATACACAGATATTTCAAAGGAGCCCATATTTTTTACATTTGGTGACAGGTTAAGTTCAATAAAGAGGTTTGGGAATTTTGAAAAAATCTGTAATTTATGCCTTCCATTTTTGTACTCCACAGCTTCCTTAAATGAATGCCATTTTGCCAAGTTACCTTGGAAATAGAAATGCCCAGAGTTTCTTTCTTCTATGTCAATCTGACTCCATGAAAGGATAGAGTTGATTATCCTATTTCACAGATTCCATTTAACTCATTTGTATCTTCAGAAGTTATCAAACAATTGGGTTTAACAGGCATCTATAGAACCTTCCACCCAAACAAAAAAGAATATACCTTCTAATTAGCACTACACAGAACCTTTTCTAAAATCGACCACTACTTGGCAATAAAGCAAACATCAACAGATACAAAAAAAATCGGAATAACCCCCTATATCCTGCTATGAAAACCTGATCCTCTAACACTCACCAAAGCAGTAATCACATTTAAGATCCAGATATTCTAATGTGCTTCAAGTTGTAAAGACAAAAGGAGAGAAACATAAAAGGAAGAGGAGATGGACAGTCAGACAGGCAAATTGCATACAGCAGGTAGCAAGACTGGTTTCCACAAATGGTGACACTGAGTTAGCAGGTGTACACACTGAGATCACTGACATGGCAACAAAATCAGTGTCGTGCCAGGGATCACCTCTCAGATGAACATCAAATATCACAGGAACAAAATGTTTGTGAGTTGTTTCCATACAAGTTGGATTTTCTAGGTGAGTCAAATGAATAACATTAGCTTCGATGGCAAAGAAAGGATTTTAAGTAGATCCTTCATGCTTATTTCACAGCATTAAGAGGCTGAAGTGTATCACAGCCCTATCACTCTGCTGGAATTTGCTGAGATATTCACTGAGGATGTGGTACCCTCTTCTCTCTGCCCAGCATGAGTGTGGATCTGTTTTGTGCCCAAGACAGGCACACTGTGGATCATACAATTTCCTGTTTATATGTAAGTGGGAATCCAGACAGAAGCAGTGAATTATTTCTGATTATTTTGGCACCAACTCCTCTAAGAAAGACAAGGCAAATGTCAGTCACCTGGGAAAAGAGTGTAAACCTTGCCCTGTGCCTCCATTTGTGCTCTCAGGATCCTCCCTCAATGCAAAGTGGCCTCAGGCTCAGGCTAAAAGCCGAGGCCTATCTGAATAGCCCCATCTCATTCTCAATGAGCCTCCAGAAGAACATGGTTGTCCGGGTGCTGCTCCTCTGCCTGCTGACCTTTCCAAGCTGTAAGTGTGCAGGGTTTCAGGAGAGGGACCCAGGCATGTCATCATGGGATGTATGAATGATGGTGATGTTGTTTGTCCCCAGGTGTCCTGTCCCAGGTGCAGCTGAAGGAGTCAGGACCTGGCCTGGAACAGCTCGCACAGACCCTGTCTCTCACCTGCACTGTCTCTGGGTTCTTATTAACCAGCAATAGTGTGAGCTGGGTCAGCCAGCCTCCAGGAAAGAGTCTAGAGCATATGGGAGCAATATGGAGTGGTGGAAGCACTAATTATAATTCAGCTCTCCAATCCCGAATCAGCATCAGCAGGGACACCTCCAAGAGCCAAGTTTTCTTTAATATGAACTATCTGCAAACTGAAGACACAGCCATGCATTACTGTGGCAGAGACACAGTGAGGGAACTCCAGTGTCAGCATGCACAGAAACCTCCCTGTAGAGACATACAGAACAACCAGGGGGTGCTGAAGAACAACAGTGTCATCGCAGGACCTGTAACAGTTACTTCAGAAGTTCTGTATTTGCAACTATTTGGGTGCTAGAAATTTTGGTTCTCCAATTTCACACAAGGGAACCCTTAGTGTAGAATTTACATGTTATAGTCTTTTAATCTTGCTTTTTCTTGTACAATAATTACCTGTGTTCCCCATAATCTTCTAAAATATCTAATTACTTATTATCAGACAAGTCAACAAATTAATTTTATATATTCCATACCTATATTTCATGTGTGTGTGTGTGTGTGTTTGTGTGTGTGTATGTGTGTACTTCATCAAGAGTCTGATATTATGACACTGTTGACTGTACATTGTGAAAGACAGTTTGGAAATCTTGAAGAATCTATAATTCATCCTCTTTAATTGTAAGAGAGAAACCACAATTCTCTGAGTTAATGTATTTTCCAAAGTTACCTTGGAAAAGGAATCATCCACGTTTCCTACTTATAAACAAATATGACACCATAAAGTATGAAGTTTTTATCCTTTTTGCAAGACACTATTTTTAAACATCATGGTGATTATTAACTTGCACCTTGAATTCCAAGCTAATGATTGCTCTATAGATGTACTGTATATACTCAGACCAGAAAACTCACAGCTACTGTATGCTCATCTCTTTGCAGGAGCTGCCATGTAAGCTGATCCTCACTCTGACACTGAATAACATGAAGGTGGACCCTTTGTGTTCAGCATTGCTTGGAGTTGTTCACTTCACTGGCATGTCTACTCCTCTGATAATTCGAGGAATCTAGGCATTTTGGTCATCAAAGTTTGGTCGCACACTGTTGGCGTCACTGTAAGAGCTTCCAGAGAATCCTCAGCCTAAGTTTAACACATTCTCTTTTCCTTTTTACAGTTCCTCAAGTTATGATCAACTAGCATGGAGCCCACAGACCACATTGCTTGTCTGAATGATACTTCTCCAGCTCACAATAAAACACCAGACTATTCCATTCATCAACGTCAGAGATTGACTTTTATTGAGTTTTTGGACCTAAAATATATCAGAACCAACAGCTCTCAGTTCTACTCACAATGATTTCACTTAAGACCAAGAATATAAAGAGCATATTATAGAGAGTCTAACCGTTTGTATTAAATCACTTCATATATGCATATTAAGGTAAGTAAATTATTGAACAAATAGGATCAGTCTAAGATTTCCCCCTGAAACAGAGCAAAAGTAACAAGAGTGTATGGAGAGATCTTTGAAATTGTCCTCTTTTCAGTGTGCATAGTGATTCCCACTAGAGAAATATAAAGACAAAGGATGCCCAGGTGATACATGTGTACAACCCAACAACAGAACAAGTGTTTTTACAGCATGTTCCATGAAAGGGTAGGAAAAGAATGAGAGGTATTCCTGTAATGATTGTCCCCAATTCTATTTGATGAGATATTGTCACATTAGGGTGAAGTAACAGGTAAATTATGTGAATAGATATTTTATAAATCATATGTAGGATTATCTACAAGTGGATTTTTAAAGCAAGTGAAAGACCTTTTCAGTTCTTATTTGAATGGAAAGGTAGTGCCAGATAAAATGGCCAACTCCTTTATTTATATTCAGCGCAATGGAACATATATATGAGGAAAATTTGAAGCTGGGGCCTCATTCTGCTCAGGAAAACCATCCAATCCCTGATCCTGCAGATCCTGTAGAAGAGATTAGCCAGGGATTTCAGGTCTATCCATTCAGTGATAAACACTAAACACTGACTACTCACCATGGAATTGGGTCTAAGATGCATTTTTCTTGTCCATGTTTTACTAGGAAATTTGTGACAAAGTAGAGATGCTGAGTGTGTGAGTGGAGTGCGAAGGAAGATGGACCTCTGTACCTCTGTGGCAGTTTCCTGACCAGAGCCTCGGTGTTTGCATGGCTCCAGTGATAGTTGCAAGCTGGTGGAGCCGGATCATGTTTGTTGCATAATGTAGTCAGCCAGGCTCCAGGCAGGGACTGGAATGGGTCTCATACACATAAGACTGGTGTCTCAAGACATATGCAAAGTATGTAAAGGACAAATTGCCCATCTCCAGAGACAATTCCACTCATACTCTGTACCTCATAATGGATTGGTGAAAGTCAATGACACAACCATGTATTACTGTGTCAAAAGTTCACATTGAGAGGATTCTAGTATGAGCCTAGACACACATACCCTGCAATGAGTCCTTATGAAGATAGGGGACAGTGAAAGATCATGGAAATCAGAGACAGACAGAGCAAGAGAAAAGGGACATGAAGGGCTGTACTCCCTCCATCTGGGCTGCTTCTGTGCATCACAGAAGAGTTTCCCATAAAATCTCTCTACAATATAGTGTGTAGGCCTATTTGAATTGTTAAAATATTACTCAGTATTTTCAACTGTGCTGTATAGATATAAGTATAGAGTGTACTCAGATCCAAATCACATGGAGACCATTAACAAGGGAGGAAGTGAGGAAGTGACTCTACTGTGGGCACCAGGATCAGATTACAAATCAATTTAGGGACTCTGAAGAGTTGGTTCCACTGGGACCACAGCTGATTCATGTTAAACATAAAGGTCAGGCGTGTTCAGTTATCTATGTGTCCTGGAAATCTTTATATGCCATCTAGTGTGCATATCTGACAAAGCATTAATCTGGTTCTATATCTTGTCATAAGATGTGTGGAAAGCCATTGATCCTTGGAAGTCTCCTGCAGCAGGAGGAACCATACAGCAGGTGACAGTATTTGGTCTTAGGTTTCTGTACGAGGCTCCTGGGATACTCACCAGGAAAGGTTTATTTGTGTCTCACCTCTGTTCCTTAGACAGCAGTTGAATTACTCTGTTGTCTGGGGTTTTCAGGATCTTCTGTGTGTGTGCAACTTTTCACCTTTAAGTAAATATATTAATTTGATGTTTATCAGTACAGTCCATCAAATTTACCAACACTAAAGAATTTTCCTTTTAACACACATTCACTCCTTCTCTTGGGCTTTCTTCTTCACACCCAGTCACTTTACATTAGTTCCCTTGAGGATGAGGTGTGTGGTTTCTACATGGAAATTACAGGCTCAGGTACGTAACTGCATCTTTTAAATAATATTATTAAGAAAATATTATCCACATTATTCAGATCTCCACTAAATGGATGAATCTTCTCAAAAGCAAATACATTATATTAGATATGTATCAATTTGAAACATTAAAAATAGGAAAGAAAGGAAATAATTACTGCTTGTACCATTTGAGAAACACAGAGAGGATAGGAAGTGGGTGGAGAAGCTGTGAGTGTCCAAGGAGCAAGAGGAAGGAAACTGAGAGGAACAATCCTAAGACTCAGTGATCCTCTTGACTTCTAGGGGGTGATTAAAGGAACTATGCTCAATGCACAGAGGCCATCTGGGACCATGTCCCCAGGAATGATCTTCCCAGTGTCGCTGAGGAGCTCAGATGCCATGAGATGGAGGATGTGTTCAACACAAACACACATTTAAGATATGGAACAATGACTGTCCTAATACTGAAAATAAGTGACTGCTGGATAATCACCCCCCCAAAATATATATTATGTATGTGCTGAACACCAAGAAAGATGACAAGGCACTGCTAGAGGTGTGTGATAGAGTTGGTGCTGTCTTACAGATGCAGTGGAGGCATTACAGTTATGAGCATACTGTAGGAGCAACTTGCTGCAAATAGCGTGAATAGGATGGCTGGCTCCCCAATGGTAAGATCTGTATCCACCACTGCCACTCATAGCACAGTGTATGCACAGAGGAATAAGAGACACAGCATGTCGGTGGCCAATGTGAAAGAAGTCCTGGGTGTTCTCTGGAATCTTACTGAACAGGTTGTTCGGAACTTCTGATGATTCACATCACCAAAGCGTATATAAAAGCCCACAAACCCTGTACTTCTCTGTGGTGGTCTTCTCCAAAAGCAATCTATTCACAGTGCTAAAGCATGCCCTGTTCTCCACTTCTTGTCATCTTTTATAGTTATCTGTCTTTTTACTACTTCATTCAATAGAACCAAAAAGCCTAGCTTAATGCCATTGCATTTTTTGAAGTGCTACAAAAAGCTGATGTTCCTACACCAACCAATGCAATAAGCATATTTAGGGATCTACTTTTCTAATGTGCTTCAAGTTGTAAGGACAAAAGGAGAGAAACATAATAGAAAGAGATGGACTGACAGAAATACAAACTGAACACAGCAGGTAGCAAGACTGCTTTCCATCTATGGTGACCCTGAGTTAACAGAGGAATACTCTGTGATCACTGACATGGAAGCAAAATCAGTGTCGTGGGTCTCCTCTCAGGTAAACATTTAATATCACATGCACAAATTGGATTTTCTTGGTGAGTCACAAGAATAACATTAGATTCATTGTCACAGCAAAACGATTTTAATTAGAACCTTGATACTTATTTCACAGCAATGAAAGGCTGAAGTGTATCACATGACCAAATTGCATCGCAAACAATTTGCTGCAATTTGCAGAGATATGCACTGAGAATGTGGTACACTGTTCTCTCTTCACAGCATGAGTGTGGATCTGTGTTTTGTGCCCAAGGCCAGCACAGTGTGAATCATACAATTTCCTGTTTATATGTAAGTGGGAATCCAGACAGAAGCAGATTATTTTGTCACCAGCTCCTCTAAGAAGAACAAGGCAAATGACAATCACCTGAGTCAAGAGGGTAAACCTTGCCCTGTGCCTCCTTTTATCCTCTCAGGATCCTCCCCCAATGCAAAACAGCCCCAGTCTCAGGCTGAAAGGCCAAGCCTAGCTGAGCAGCCCCATCTCATTCTCACTCAGCCTCCAACAAAGCATGGCTGTCCTGGTGCTGCTCCTCTGCCTGGTGACCTTTCCAAGCTGTAAGTCTGCAGGATTTAAGGAGAGGGAACCAGGCATGTCATTATGGGATGTAAGACTAATGGTGATGCTGTTTGTCCCCAGGTGTCCTGTCCCAGGTGCAGCTGAAGGAGTCAGGACCTGGCCTGGTGCAGCCCACACAGACCCTGTCTCTCACCTGCACTGTCTCTGGGTTCTCATTAGGCAGCTATGGTGTGGACTGGGTCCGCCAGACTCCAGGAAAGGGTCTAGAGTGGATGGGAATAATTTGGGGTGGTGGAAGCACTAATTATAATTCAGCTCTCCAATCCCGAATCAGCATCACCAAGGACACCTCCAAGAGCCAAGTTTTCTTAAAACTGAACAATCTGAAAACTGAGGACACAGCCATGTATTACTGTGCCAGAGAAACACAGTGAGGGAACTCCAGTGTGAACCTGTACAGAAACCTCCCTGTAGAAACACATAGGAGCACCAGGGGGCGCTGAGGACCAACAGTGCTATCTCAGGACCTGTAACAGTTACTTCCGAAGTTCTGAGTTGCCACTATTTTGATGCTAGAACTTTTGGTTTTCCTCTTTCACACAAGGAAATCCTTAGAGTACACTTTACTTGTCATAGTCTTTTAATCTTGTGCTTTACTTGTACACTAATCATCTGTATTCCCCCATAATATTTTTTTTTGATTTTTACGAGACAGGGTTTCTCTGTATTGTTTCAGAGGCGATCGGTCCAGCCCGGCCTCGAACTCACAGAGATCCACCTGCCTCTGCCTCCCGAGTGCTGGGATTAAAGGCATGTGCCACCACTGCCCGGCTTCCCCCATAATCTTATGAAATATCTATTTTCTTCTTGTTATCAGACAATTCACCAAATTGATATTATATATTCATATATACATTTCATATATATATATATAAATTTATACGTGTGTGTATATATATGTTTGTGTGTGTGTGTATGTGTGTGTGAATGTATGTAGTTCATCATGATTCTGACATTGTGACACTGCTGACTGTAAATTCTGAAGGACAGCTTGGCAACTTTACAGAATCTATAATTCATCCTCTTTAATTGGGAGAGAGAGACCACAATTCCATGAATTAATGTATTTTCCAAAGAAACCATCCAAGTTTCCTACTTATAAACAAGTAGGATCCCTTAAAGTGTGAAGTTGCTATCCTTTTTGCAAGATCCTATTTCTAAACATGTGCCTCATAGAGAATATTATCTCACACTTCGAATTCCAAGCTAATGATTCCTATATAGATGTTCTGTATATCCTCACACCAGAGAACTCACAGCCACTGTGTGCTCATCCATTTACAGGAGCTGCCATATAAGCTGATCCTTGCCCTGACCCTGGGTAGCATGACAGTGGAGTTGTTCACCTCTGAGGATTCTAGGAATCTAGTTAGCTTCGTCACCAAAGGTTGGTGCACATTGTTGGCATCACTGCAAGTGTTTTCAGGGAATCCTCAGTCTAAGATGAACACATTCTCTTTTCCATTTTACAGTTACTCAAGTCATGGTACATTAGCATGGAAATCACAGCCCACACTATTTCTCTGAGTGACACTAATCCAGCTCACAATGAGACACCAGAATGTTCCGTTCAGCAGTGTCAGATGGCAACTTGTATTGAGTTTTTGGAAGAGCCAACTCATACACTTACTTTGGAAATAAGTATGGAGATTCCTAAGGAAAAGGGGAATAAGTCTACCACTTGATCCAGCAAATGCACTCTTAGGCATATACCCAAAAGATGCACATTCATACAAGGACATCTGTTCCACAAAGTTCATAGCAGCATTATTTGCAATAGCCAGAACCTGGAAGCAACCTAGATGACCCTTAACTGAAAAATAGATAGAGAAAATGTGGTACATTTACATGGTGGAGTACTATTCAGTGAAAAAAAACAATGGAATCTTGAAATTTGCAAGCAAATGGACAGCACTAGAAGAAACCAACCTGAGTGAGGTAACCCAGTCACAAAAAGACAAATATAGTATGTACTCACTCACATATGGATATTAGATATGGATCAGGGGAGTTACTGCCTACAAATGTCATTGTCAGAGATTTTGGGAAACAGGAAGGCCCCTAAGAGAGATATGTATGATACCCCAGTGAAGGGTAATGAGGCAAGACATCTTGAGAAGATTAGGAGAATGGGTGGGGAGAGACACCCAGAGAAAAGAGAGAGGGAGAAGAGAAGGGGAGAAGAGGACAAGGGGGAGCAGGAAGGTTGAATCGGGGGAAGAAGAGAAGAAAGCAGGTTGAGAGAAATCATAATAGATGGAGTCATTATAGGTATGAGGGGAGATTTGGAACTAGTGATATTTCCAGAAATCTACAAGGTTGATACCAACTGACAAAATAAGCAATAGTGGAGAGGCTAATTTAATGCCCTTCCCTGATAATAAGTTTGGCAACTACCTTATATGCCATCTTAGAACCTTCACCCATTGGCTGATGGAAGCAGGGGCAGACATCCACAGCTAAACACTGAACTGAATTCCGGGAACCCAGTGGCAGAGAATAAGGATTGATGAGAGAAAGTCTGAAGAATGGGTTGGTGAAACCCCAGAGACAGCTGACCAGAACAAGGTGGAGATCTTGGAGCCAGACTGATAGCTGAGAGCCCAGCATGGGACTGATCAAGTCCCCCTGAATTTGGGTGTCTTTGAGGAGGCTTTGGCAATTTGTGGGGCACTGGGTAGTAAATAAATATTTATCCCTGGCATACATATAGACTTTGGCTTCTCATCTCAAAATCAGGGATGGTCTCTCACCCTGAACACATGGGAGAGGGCCTAGGCTTTGCTCTGGATGAAATGACAGACTCTGGAAATCCCTTATGAAGAGCCTCACTCTCAATGGTGAGGCAAGTTGGAATTGAGTGGGAGGCTGGGAGGACTGGTTGGGGGAGTAGGAGGAGAGGAGGGAGAGGGATCTGGGATTCATATGTGAAGCAAGCTTATTTCTAATTTAAATTTTAAATAGCTAATAAAATTGTATCAGAGACAAAACATCAAAAAAAAAGAACTCACCTGTGCCCATGCGATCCACATGCCAATAGCAGAAGTAAACAAAACTGATTTTGATTTTAGAGCATAATCTGAAATATTCAGAAAATTATTTGGTCCTTATGTCTCGCATTCCCCTAGTCCAAACCCTTGATTGCCTCTGACATAAGAAATTTCCTCTGTGTACAGGGAGCCATCATGATGCTCTGATGATCATCCTGGGACCAGTATGCTGCAGGGAGTCAGTGCTTTATCAGGGGCACCAAATCTCCATGGTTTCAACTGTATCCTTAAGCAGTTGCACAGAAGGCCAGAGAGCACTTCCTGTGAGCCCTTGTTTCCTCTCGCAGCCCAGTTGGCAGAGGAAACTGTAGGATCTTGGAGCTGGCAGTTGCTTACATCCTTTTACAAATCGCATTTGGGCTTTGAGAACATGCATTGTGCAGTACAAATGTGTGGTTTATGTGCCCTGCACTCTGGTACTCATATCTTTCATTACCTATCCCATTCCCACTGTTTATGTTTTGTTATAATTGCCTGTCCTTAGTCTACACTATCAGCACAGACTACTGTCCACATTCAAACAGCACTGCTCACTTTAAGTCAGATGTGCAATGTCTCCAAATTTATTGTTAGTTATAGCACTATAAGAAAAGTATCAAGATTTTATATTTTAGGGTTATATTGTTCACATGAGTTGATTTATTAGTTGATTTTTATTAAACAATTCTGTTATCAAATTCTTATGATTCTGATTATTTGACCATGTCTGTGTTTGGGTATGTGAACAAGATTGTAAGTGCCCAGTGAATCCGAAGAAGTTAGCTCCCCATGCAAGCAAAATTCTATGTGGTTCTGAGATACTTGATGTGATTGCTAGGAATCAAACTCAGATTTTTTGAAAGTCAGTAAATTAGTTTAACTGCTGACCCTCTCTTCAGGTATCTGAACTATTCTTTGTTATGAGACTGGTTCACTAATTTTATTTTAATAACTTTTAATTTGTATATCCATATAGGTACATTATTTCCTCCAAACCTCCTCTTGGAACTCCTTGCATTTTTAAATTCGTAACATTTATTTCATGACTTATGTAAAATTAATTAATAGTTTTAAATATAAATGTAACTTATTTCTAACTGCTTCATCAATAACGTTTGGACACTTATATGAGTGCACAGGACCATAGGAGTTCAAGAACAGAACATATTTAGAAGCAGAAGGCAAGAAAGGACTAATGCAGAGGTTTCAGTGTGCCGAGGTAAGTTTTCATTGGAAATGTTAAAATTCCTAACTAGCAATATGACAGGAATATCATGAATAGAATTCAAAGGCCACTATAGAGACTATGAGACATACAGGTGAATATGTCCCTGTACAGACTCAGCATAAGCAGAAGCCTTGGGGGACTACACAACCAGTGTGAAAACATAAACACCAGACACAGAAAGAACCTTAGTGTTACCCACCTTGAGTCTTGGATTCTTATGTATTAGATTTAAATTCAGTTTTGTTCACTCCAGGTTAAATACAAATGAGCCATATGCAAATCCCTTGTAGTAGAAATCTGAGGCTTATTCCCCTCACTTTGCAAGGGAGTGCCTGATTAGTCTCACGAAACTACTCTACCTCAAACTCATGCATCACGGAGTGCGCATGGAGACTCATTTTCCTGCTGGCAGCTGCACAAACTGAGGCATCAGAACCCAGAGCTGAAGGGTAACCTGAAGCAGTTCTATAACCTCTTACTTACCCATGGTGTCTCCACAGGTATCCAAACACAGATCCAGCTGGTGCAGTCAGGAGCTTAGATGAGGCAGCCTGGGTATACAGTGAAGATATCCTGCAAGGCCTCATGGAATATGGAATGCAATTGGTGAAGCAGGCACGAGGACAATACATAGAGTGAATTGGATGCATCAATACCAACACTCGGAAGACAACATATGCTGACAAATTCAAATGACAGTTTGTCTTCTCCTTGGATACATCTGTCAACACCACATACCTGCATATCATCAGCAGCTTTAAGACTGAAGAAATAGCCATGTATTACTCTACAAGATACACAGTGTGAAAACAACATCCTAAAGGTGTCAGAAACAGTGAGGGAAGTGGTTTTTCTGTGCCCAGACAGGAACAGAGAAAATATGCTGCCCTCCACCATCACTAGGATTATGACGTTAGTAATTAGACACACAGTAATTAGATCTCTGTTTTTTGATTGACTATTCCCAGCTCTTTGTTGACAAACAAGTCACATGAACAGGAGGGAGACATTGTATAGCATCATTAACTTGGTATAAAACCTACAGGTAGCCACGCGTTGCTGGCACACAACTTTAATTCCAGCAATTGAGTCTCAGAGGCAGGTGGATCTCCCTGAGT